TATTCTAAGGGCAAAATGTAGCAGTAGGCTTTCTGTACAGTGGCCACATGGTGGGAGGAAGGGAATAGTGGGCATCATCATTCGACTCATAGTTCCTTTTGGTGTTTACCAAGGATGGTAGGCAGTCCCAAAGGGATGAGGATCAGAATCAGTCCTGTCTTGAGAAAAATCTATTATTCTATTTCAGGAAACAGAGGCAGGAGCCCACCTGTGAGGGCGATGCCAACAAACATCAGGAAGCAACTGAAGATTATGGCTTTCCTCAGGAAGCAAGTGGGAATCCAACCTTCTCTCACTACAGAGATCTGAAGTTTCCAGGGGTCAGTAATATATTAATTCAAATCACATTTTTTGCTATAGCACATAACATGATTTAGTAACCTAATAAAGTGCTTTGTCCATACAACTACCCAGATTCCTTCTCTCTTGTGGCTACATTATTTCCTATGGTCTGCATCAAAGCAGAACAAAGAGGATGTGGAGAAAGCACATCTGTTTCCTAACTGCCTTTCTGGAGAGAAACCTATCACTTCTGCTCATATTCCATTGGCTAAAACAAGTCACATGACAGCTCTCAGCTGCAAAGCTGGTTGGGAAATGAAGTTCTTGGCTGGGTTGAGATGTTCAGAGACAACTCTGTCCCACAGAGAAGGGAGCATGCATTTTGATGAGCAGTGGTCATCCCTGCCATAGAGCCCATCAGTCTCTCATCATGGAGAGACCTCAGCAAGCCCTGCTGGATGGTGGACTCATGTTTTTCTTTGTCTGTGGATGAGACTCAACAGTCTTCTTGATACAACTCAGCCCCTGACATGACTGGAGGGATTTGAGCTATTTCCAACACAACAGTCTGTGGAATTGGACAGAGGAGATAAGAACTCAGTGAAACATGGAGGCTGGCAAAGTACACAGAACAAATAAACGAATGCATGAAATAACAATTTCCTGCTAGTGGGACCTGGGTTCCGGGAAAAGCTCCTGAGTACACAGGGTTTGAGATAAATCTGTTTCCCTCCCGCAGTCTCTGTTTGTGCTCTGGCTCTGTTTGTACAACTCGATTTCTGTTTGGAATCAAGGTCCTTCTCCCACCCATTTATTACCAGCCTTCCTCCGGATCTGCGATGAATTTGTGTGTGAGGCTGAATTCATAGCCCGAGGACAGTCTCAGCAGCTCCTTGTAATGATCTAAATATAGACGCCTCACCTCCAGTGGAAAGCAGGAGGAATGATACTGCTTTGCTGACTCCTCGCTGTGGCATCCTTGGTCCAAGGCTGAGGATGGGTTCAAGGCTTGGCTTTTTCACTTGTTCTCTGTATGACCTTGATGAGACACAAGACCTTTTTTTTTTTTTTTTTTTTTTTTTGTCATTGTTCCTTCACCTGTGAAGTGGAAGCAGCTGCCATGGCCATGACAAAAACACATAATAAGTCTGAAAAGTGTGGTAAACTTCAGTGATCATGGGCAGGGTCATGGGGTCTTTAAAGCACAGGCTCTAAAGCCATGCTATTTGAATTGGCATCCTGTCTCTGCAACTTGCTGCCACATGATTTGGGCAAGTTATTGCTCATCTCTGCACCTCTTTGCTCCTTTGGAAAAGGATATCATAATAGTACCTACATCATAAGGGTGTTTCAGGATCAAGTTGGCCTATGTATGTAAGCTGCTTGGTATGTTGGCCTGTGCTTCCTTCCTAGACGATGCTGATGGCTGTTACTACTCCAGGAGTGTGTACCTCTGAGGTCCTGTCCACTGTAACATTACCCCTTCTCCCTATTTCATGGGGGCCTTTTTTCATCCTTGAAAGCTCAGTGGTAATGCCCACTCCTCTGGGAATCTTGTCCTGATGCCAGAGTAATAGATCGCACAAGCCCAGGAATGCTGCTTACATAGAACTGTCAGTGTTTTCTCCTGTAGTTGCATCATGTGGCTGGCCTGCCATCTATCACTGGGAGAGACTGTCTTCCAAGATCTGAAGTTTCCGTAACTCATCCCTCTACTAAAAACATTAGGGTGCCTGCTCATCTCTTACTAGCAAAGAGCTTGTCACAGGCAGGGAAGCTTGGTTTGGGCTATGTTTGCTGCTAGAACAAGCAAGTGCCAATATTTTAATAGCTTAGCACATTATGTGTTTATTATCCCAGATCAACATCTGGCACTTGGAAAGAGTGTAAAAAATACGCATCCAATGAATAAAAGAATAAACCAGGGAATGGCCAAAGGCCTCCTTTGCGGGGAAGATCTTTTTTGGAATTTTACAATATTGAGAGGGAAATGTTTGCTCAGTGTATGGGGTCAGAGGACATCTGGATGGGGGATGGGAGTAGGCCAGGCCCTGAGCCTCACAGGGTGAATGGGACAGAAAGGGAAAAGGAAGACCTGGGCCTTCTCGGGCCCAGCTGCTTCCCATGCCTGGGTGTGTGTCTGTCTTACATCGCTCTTATAATGGCTCAGTACTGCTCCAGGAATTTTGGTTCCCAGAAGTGCATGCCCATGGCTCACCTGTGTTTTCAGGTGTGGAGGACAGTTCCATACCAACAACTCTTCACCCCAATTCACTGCTCATTTTCTCACTTTTCTGCCTTACCTGTGGAACCACTCAGTTTACCTGAGGATGGGGCAAGGAAGTGGGGATTGGAAACAGAAGGATAAATACTCCAGCCTTCTTCCTCTGGAGGGGCAGTTCTGGGTGACAGCCTGTGTCCTTTTTAGGGTGCCCGGCATAGTTGAGCCCATATGGTCTCCAGCACTGGCTTGGAAATGCATCCTTTATCAGCTTCTCCTCTGTGTCTTGCTCTCTGGCTTCCCAGGCTCCCCTCTGTAGTGAACAGGAGTACCAGAGTCCTTGGCTCAGGTTTCACTTTCAGGGGAACCTACCACCACACGTGTGACTCCAGATTAGGAGATGGAGGCTCTGAGAGGGTACTGCCACGGGGCTGTAGCACAGCAGCAGGAGTGTGTGGATTCAAATCTGGGCTCCGCCCACTATCCCACAGACTACCCCACAAAAATAGCCAGCAAGCGTGAAAATGTTCCTAGTGATGTGCTAACTAATGCTCTGAGGTGAAAACTGAAATTGCTCTGCTGAAATTGCTTTTGTTTCCTTCCACAGATATAGGTGTGGAAAGTGTGGGGGACGGGAGAGAGGAGGGGGTTCAAGAGATGATGACAGAAGCAGAAAAAAAGCAGTGAGGGATCTCCCCCATTTACAGACCTCCCCTCCCCTTTCCTACTCATTGTCTTTTTGAAGCAAACAAGACACAAGTAAAACAAGCACTGACTTCAGCTGGCCCTTTCCTACTTCTTCTGTGCACATTTCTTCCTAGAGAGGCTGTTTCCACACTGCTTTTTTGGGAGGTGACAGGGTGGCAGAAGAGGGACAAAGAATAGAAATGAATGTGTTCTGAGCTGGGTGGCATATAGTGTCTTTTTAAAAAATTCTTTTTATTATGGAAAAATTTATAGAGTATATAAAAATAACTGTGCAATAAACCTTCATAAACCTCTCATTCAGCTTCACGGTTACTTAGTAGACAAATCCTTGCCTCTAATAACTCACTTAATCATCACCACACTGTGTGGGCACTATTGTTACCCCCAGTTTGCAGAGGAGGAGACTGAGACTGGGAAGGTTTAGCAACTTGCCTAGAGTTAACTGGACAGCTGACCTCAGTGTCCATGCTCATAGCTGTAGGCTGTTGAGGCCAGCTCTTAGACTTGGCCACAATGTACCACTTCTTTCCTTACCCAGGGAGGATGAGGTCATTTATGGATGTTGGGTAATATGTGATGTATTTGTGCCCTTGCTCAGAGTGTAATCTACATACCAATGCTCAAAACATGATCCACAGACAGGTAGTTTCAGTGTTTTTGAGTACAAACGAACACTCTTCATCCCTGATCTGCCATTCAGAATTTCCAGGGGTGGAGCCCTGCAGTCTGTATTTTGACAAGCCTTGCAGGAGACGCTAATGTGAGCCTAGTGAGACTGGGGCTCTGCTTCCTCTGGCCAGAGTCTTCCGTGGATATCTGTATCCTGGGGATGGCTCCCGTCCTTCTCCTCCTATCTCAGGGACATACTTCACAGCTGTTCAGACAGGCACGCCATGCCCAATGTCGTGGGGACCACACTAATCCTCTGAAACTCTATCTTTATGGCCTCACAATCGCTGTGCTGTGTCCAGTAAATTGTCCCCATTCCAGCGCTCCCAGCAGATTCTGGGAGGCTGTGACTATTGACAGTCTTGTAAAGCAGGCCTACGGGCGGGACCTGCATGTTGCCATCCCACGCCTCTGTGATTTACATCTGCAGGTGCCAGGCCAGCACCTGTTAGGAGTATATACCTAGTTAGTTTTACTTTTGAACCATAAAAATGAATAAATCTGCCACCCATAAAGTCTTATTTATTGCTAAGAGTTCATTATATATGCATGAAAAACCAACTAATTTAACTTGTTGGCAGTTACTTCTTGCTGGAAGCTGGATTCAGGATTGGAATTCAGGTTTAAGTCAGGGCAAATGAGGCAAGGTTGAGAGTATGAACCACAGCCAGCGGGTAAGGAGCTGGAGGTGGAGGTGCAAGGCCTGGCCAGTGAGTGACTCTGGACTAATTACCTAGTCTCTCTCAGCCTCAGTTTCTCACCTGTAAAATGGGAAAAAATCATACCTCCTGCTGAAAACTATTATGGCAATTAAAATGATACCATGTTTCATCAAATCAGAGAGGCTGACCACTAAGTTAAATACACTTTTATTTTTTGCATCACTAAGAAAGATAAAATGCTTCCGCTGAAACCAGGCTTCGTGCTTTCTATCACTTAGAATTTTTATTTTATGCTTATTGAAAGAGCTCTTTTAAATTCATTTAGGCATAAGATTCTATCATAGATCACACATTTGCATACATTCAAATGAACATATAAGCAAAATGCATTGATGGAAAGATTCCTAAACCCTTTCCACACTCAAGAGTTCAATTTCTCTGAATCAAAGTTGACTCAGTCATCAGTGTCTGTACTTTTTCACATAATCTTGTCCTTTGTGCCACTAAGTTGGGTTCACACTGCTGTGATTCTTGCAAGAGTTCTCAATTTGCATCCCCAGCATTTTTTTTTTCCTTCAAGTTACACAGTCTGCAAATTTCAATGCTTGGAGTTTTTGAATGTACCAGGAGGTGTCAATGGGAGGTTTGCAGACAGCAACCAGGATTCAAATTCCTTTCCTGGATGGCCTGTGAACTGTTTGTTGATTGAAATGTGGGAGTCGTCTTTGCCCCCAAGGAGTCCTCAGCAAACCTTAGCATGTGTAGCAGCGATACCCGACCTCTGTGCCTGCGTGGTCTGGCTAACAACTACTGCCGGGTTCCCCCCCCCCCCCATTTCGGAGATCTTACAATGGGAAGAGAAGGTGCGTCTACAGTCAGTCAAATATGATACATGAGAAATGCTCGCCAGTGAGTCTGGCACATATAGGAAGTGGATGCTGAGTGTGTGAGTTGTACACCAGGTGGTAGTTGCTTGGGCTGCTGTAGCTAAGAGCCACAGACTGGGTGGCTGAAACCACAGACATTTATTGCTTCACGTCTCTGGAGGGTGGAATTCTGAGATCAAGGTGTCAGCTGTGTTGGTTGCGTCTCTCTTTGGATTGTGGATGTCACCTTCTTGCCATATTCTCACCTGGCCTTGCTATGTCCTCTCTGTATGTCGTCTGTGTTCCAATTTCTTCTTCTTCTTAGGTCCTGTTGGATTAAGACTCCTCCCAGTGACCTCATTTCCACTAATCACTTTTCTAAAGACCTCACCCTCAAACGGTCACATTGTGATGCACAAGGGGGTGGAACTTCAGCATAGGAATTTGGGGGCTCACAGGTCAGCCCAGACACAGGCCCAGTGTGAGTGCTTTGCAGACAGAGTCTCTTTTCTGCCCTCCTCATGCCCTCACCAGGTGGTAACTTTGTATTTACTAATTAAGAAAATGAAGGTCCAGAACGTGAAGTTCTGGTCAGAGATCACAGGGCTGCTGAGGAGGAGCTGAATTTCAACTCCAAGAGAGAGAAGCCTTGCTGCAGGACATCTTGCTAACTCCTCACTGAAATGTGCTTTTTGGAGCCTGAGTGGAAGTCTGGCAGCAAGGTTGGAGCAAGGGAGGGAGGAGGCCTGTGATCCTGCCTGCATCTCTCTCTCCCCATATTAATTAGAGTCCTTTCCATGTCTGTCTGGGCTCCTTAAAAACTTTTATTTGAAGAAAGGATAGCTGAGCAGAACAGTTGATCACACCTAGATTGCATGGCGTATTGATTTCCTAGGGCTGCTGGACCTTGGCCACAACCTGAGTGGCTTAAAACATTATTCCCTCACAGTTGTGGAGGCCGAAAGTCTGAAACCAACATGCCTGCATGGCCACATCTTCTCTCTGTGGGCTCCAGGGGAGGATGCTTCCTTGCTTCTTCCTAGCTTCTGGGGGTGGCTTAATCTTTGGTACTCCTTGGCTTGTAGATGCATCACTTCAATCCCTGCCTTTGTCATCCTACAGCGCTCTCCCCGCACCCCTTTCTGTTTCTGTCTTCCCATAAGGATATGAGTATTGAAGTCAAGGTTCACCTCAATCCAATATGAACTCCTCTTAACTAGTCATATCTACAAAGACTCCGTTTCCAAGTAATGTGATGTTTGCAGGGAACTGCGGTTAGGCCTTCAACATGTCTTTTGAGAGACCGCAATTCAGACAGTAGCGCATGGCATAGCTGCTGTGTACAGTGGGGGACAATGAGGCAGAGAGTGGAGGGGATAGGGAGGTACTGGGTGTGGCCCCGGGAGTCCGTGATGAAGGAGGAAGGTCCAGGTGTGAACTGGGCTGGCTTTGATTTTGAGGGGACGCATAACCTGCTGGCTGGTAAAAGAGCTGGATGTGAGCAGCCTTTCTGTGCCTTTACACATTTCCTCAGCCTGGCTTCTCCCTCCAACCCTTTACATCCAACATTTGCTGGGGAGAGAAGGCAGGATCCAGGGTAAGAGGTAAACACAAGGACATTTTCCTCCTTACTGCTGAGGCAGAAGTCTTTGAAGACAGCAGGGGTCCCTGCTTTGAATCTGTGACATCACAGAGTTTAATTCTTTCCTAATCCTTTGTGAGGTGGCTTCCAAAAATACCTTATCCTTAGGCAATTTTTATTATGGATGTTAGTTGCTCAAACCTTGTAATTCAGGTTCCATTAGATCTTGGTGGAGTTGTGTGTGTGTGTGTGTGTGTGTGTGTGTGTGTCCCCGCTTCCTCTGATGATCTGATGACAGACCAAACACAAATTCGCATAGAGAATGTGAGTTCCATATTCTCCTGGCATTCTATCCGAACAGCCCTGGGAGTATATTAATAGCCTGGAGTCAAGGTACAAATGGTTATTTATATGTGTAGGTGATGGCTAAAGTACACCCTCTAGTAATTATTCACAATTAACAAGCACTTCAGTAAATGAACAAAATCTGTTCTTAATCCATTGAGGCAGCAATTCTTTATCCAGAACTCATGTAGCTGAAACTTCTGGTCAACCAGCCCTCCCTCACAGCTCCAGAACAAAGCTAATTAGAGATTATAATCCTGACCTTCAGGCTCCTTTCAGAGCCTGAAGGGTACTTGAGTCATCAATAAAATATAATGTGTTCAGTAGTGTCTCCGCTGACAAGAATAATAGAGTTGAAAATCAGTGAACCCTATGTACCTGTTAACTGTGTGTTCCCTGGAAGCCACGTGGCAACTCTCTTGCAGCGAGCTCTTGTTCCTTGCCAGGTTTGTCAGAAGTAGGGCTTGTCTTTTCTTTTCTGTTTTCTTTTGTCTTTATCATGAGCAGCAGTGTATTTAATGAGTGAAAACCTCATATATTGACCATGTACATGTGATACAATGTTGGCTGACTCAGGATCCTTGAGAGATGCATGAACTTTATGTCCACCTGTGTGATCTGTTACATTTCTGCCACTCTCTTCTTCCCTTGCTCCCTACATTTTGTTGGGCAGCAGTTCCTGCCAGCACTGCTTTTAAATGTATCCAAAATCAGACTGTATCTGACCATTCCACAGATCCCACCTTGGCCCCAACCAGAACTTTCTCTCATGCATATTAAAGTCTCTTTAACAGAATCTGTTTCCCGGCATCTCATCACATTTAGAATACAACATAATCTCCTTACAAGGACTTCACATGACTAGATCTCTGACACCTCCCTGACCTCGGCCCCTACCAATGCATGCTCCCGTGCTCTGTCCCAGCCACCCTGGCCTCACTATGCCTTAAGACTGCCAAACTCAATCTTGCTACAATGCCTTTGTACAGACTACTTTCTCCACCTGGAATGTTCTTTGCTTACATGGTTTCTTGGCTTGTCCTTCCATTTTATTTGGGTTTCTGCTCAAGTATCACCCCATCAGAGCGACTCTCCTCACTGCCATATCTAAAATATTGGCCCCGTTCTTTCATTTTGTATTTCCTTCTGCAGCTGTGGTGTTGTACAGAGCATGTAACATTGCTTTATTATGCATAAGCCTGTTTGTAAATGTTGACTTGTTCGACTGTTAACTGGAAAGGATGGCAGCTCTCACGTAGTGGGCTCTCATGGTGTGCCAGGAAGGTCCCACAAACACTCCCAATGCTGCTCTAGGTGGAGGGGGCTGGGCCGTCCTTGGGCAAGAAACGGGAACCAGAGGTCTTCTCTCCTACTTGTCCCTTCTCAGCATTAAGCATCTGCCCAATCTTCTAGAATTTAAGCTCTGTGGAGTCTAGATCAAAGCTGACTCTCTATTTTCTACAACAGTGCCTGGCACCTGGTAGGTCCTCAGCAAACAACTACTGATTTAATAAATAAATTAAGAATTTAGAACCACCAGTGCAGCTTGGTAAAGTGTCTGGTTATTAAAAAAAATTCTGGGGGGAAAAAGGATTCTAAGAATTTTCCAACCTGCAGGTGCAGTATTTATGGGAAATAAATGGGAAGACGTCATAGAGGCATATGAATGCTGACAAATAAATGAGGAGGCATATCATGTTTTTGGCTGGGGGAGAGTTACCATTTTAAAGAAAACAATTTTCCCCAAGGCAGCTCATAAATTGAATGCAATTTCAACTCAGCGTCCTTAGGAGTTTATTGTATAAATTGACAAAATTATTCACAAACTCATCTGGAAAGATAAATAGGGGAAAACCACTGAAGAATTTTTGGAAAAAATCAGGACAATGAGAAGAGAACTTCAATGTTCAGATTCTAATATATAAAACTGTAATGATTAAGATAGTGTATTCCTAGGGCAGGAGTACACAAAAAAATTAGCGAAACAGAAGAGTAAATTTAGAAAGAGAAAAAAATGATATACTAGAATTAACTGTTAAGAACTGGGTCATAATTCCTGGGATAAAATAAATGCTCACAAATCTGTACTGATATAAATACATTTTGTGGGGGGAGAAGAGACACCTCTTCCTTACAGAGGAACTCCAATTACTAACTGTGGAGGGATGATGAAAAGAGAAAATTGTCATTTGGCAAACATTGCAAGAGGAATTGTTGCAGACAAGTATCATTGGTAGAAGCTAAAATTAGTAGTTAGAAGTGTGATGGGAGACATGATATTTGCATGATCCCTGAATATTTCTCCATGAGACGTTTACTAATTACTGAGTGCCAAATAATAATTACACAATGAAGAAACCTCGCGGGCACCACTTTAACTGAGTGGTCGTGGTTAATATCACGGGTAATGAGACACATGGACATTCTACACCCGTGATGTGAAGCGCAGAGAAGGACAGAGCATCACTTCTGTGATGTTCTTGCTGCAAATGCGCGACCTCAGTATTCCTCAGTGAGAAAACATGAGGGAAGCCTAAACTGAGCACTGCCCCACACCAGCACCAAGAGGCACTCCCTCCAAGTATCGCGGTCACAAAAGATAAGGAAAAACGGACCAACCTCCAGATGGGAGCTAACTGAGGAAACATGACAAGTAAAGGCATTGTAGGATCTTGGATGGAATCCCAGGTTAGAAAAACGACCTTACTAGGAAAGCTGGCAAAAAGTAAATATAGTCTGTAGATTAGTTTATGCTGATACTAATTTGTACTGATATTAATTTTCTGGCTTTAATAATTGTTCTACTGTTCCATATGTTCTTAATATTAGGGGAAGCTCAGTGAAAGGTGTATGGGAACACCTCTATTTTTGAAAAATTTTTGAATGTCTGAAATTTAAAGCTAAAATATAGTTCACTCTAAAAATAAAGGAAATAATGGATTATTCAGTTAATGGTAGTGGAACAATTAGCTAACCATTTGGAGAAATATATAATTTTATTCTATACTATATATGTTTTACTTATAAAAGCATAATTTGTACCATATATCAAAAATTAATTCTATGGGCTTAGGTATGTCTAAGCAACAGATAATGATAGAAAATTACATATTCTTTTTATAGCTAAGTAAGAGAAATCCAGGTTGAAAGATACAGTGGTTGAAAATGAATTTTTCTTGTATCCACAATAATCAGAAATGAGTTAATGTCTGTACTACTATTTTGATTTTTATATTTGTAGTTTAATAATATATATTTATGTTAATTATATTTTTTGAAACATAAGTTATTGTCTATACCATTTTAATGATCTTACTTTGGGATATCCTAGTTGGTTTTCAGGTAAATGTCAGAGTGACTTGGGCTCAAATTTGAGCCCCACTGCAAGCTTGTATCTCTAA